CCTAATGCAAATTCCAGAATTCAGTGCTACAATAAATTCCAACATAGTTAGCTTTTTCTATCCCAGATTTAAAAGGGGCCGTAACCCATAACACTTGGTATGGCTGAGTATGTTTGATGCAGTCTGTGGTCTACTGTCTGTAGTCTGCAGTCTGCAGTCTGAAGTCTGAAGTCTGAAGTCTACATATATTATTAACATCTCAGTTCTAAACTGGCCCTGTCTGGTCCTCTTTCCACCAAAAATTAAAGTATCTATTTTTTGAAAATTGTTAGACAAACCTCGCACTTCATTACTACTGCCAAATGCACACGGTAATCAAATTGTTGAGCACAATTCAGACAATGAAACAGTGCTTGGCAGTAGTCGGACACTAGGAGGAGCCACCGAACATTTGATTGACGGTAGCGTAAAACACATTCGTTGGTTGAGCTTTGAATTTTAGAGTCCTGGCATGTTATTGAAAAGCACAGTAATTGCAAGCAACTGAACTGAACTAGAATTAATCATTTCCATGAGTAGGTTAGCTATCTGCATGTCAGTCCAATGCAATGTTTAGTCTTTGAACAAAATGCTTTTGTTGTTGTTATATTTGCAACTGTCTAATTCTGCTAATCAAAACTACAAAATGTAGGATTGGAACACAAAATTTTTCTCACAAAAACAAACAATGCAGTTACAACATTCCTTGTATTGTGTAGTGCAGTACATCCACCTGGTCCAGACAGAGGAGAGTGTGTACAGGATTGCCCATTTGTTTACATGTAAACAGTACAATTACAAGTTCAAAACAGCGAATGCAAGAGTACACTAGAAATTCTTTGAACTTTAGCAAACACGCAAGAGAAGACGTTCAACCCTGAATTTTTCCTTACACAGAATGATAATTACTCCTTCCGCGAGCGTCTTTAAAAACCTTAATTCTTACAGAAAGAGACCAATCAACCCAATTTCTACTGGACTACTCTTAGCTACCACGGAGGGCATTTTGCCCAGGCGATCACGCACTGCTCATCACAGTGTCCAAAAGACGAACAAAATCATCAACTAACTTAAGCATGAAAATGACCACTGTTGAAATGTAACTGGAATAATCGAGCTACTCACTTTTGAGCGCATCCTCGCTATTTCTCTTCAGTAAAATGTCCATCGTAATTTGAACCAAATTCCGAAAGCTGCGATCCCCAACCCGGGCGGAATCCCCGCAGAGGTTAAGTCCCTCGGTTGCCACACTGTTCAGTTCCATTTTAACAACAAACCTTCTCTTTTGAGAGCTTTTAATGGGAGCTACATTTGCTTGTCTTCTTTTCTCTATTCCGCCATGATGAAACTTGAAGAAACTGGAAATCTTACACTGCTAATGGTTTACTCTGCTGACCAGATTTGTAAAAGGTCGTGCGGCGCAGTTGCCTTTGCCAGTGACCTTCTTCAGCAACAGCGATTGCTAAGTAGACTGTATTTTTACTGCTATGGCGTTATTCTTTAGAAATGCTAGACTGCTTCGTAACCAGCGTCTCTGTCTACAAGTGCAGCAGGTAAGGAACAGATATCAAGTCACTGAAGTTCTCCCCTTTTGGAAGAACATTAGGTTCTCCTCCTGTACATGTATGGAGGAAAGTATTGCATAACCATTTAGCTTACTGGGCACCAATGTGTGAAAAATATTCCTTTAATAGGTCATTGTTGTTATTTGTCTTAGTTTTCCAGAGTAGCTCCCTTAGGCATCTTCCATATTTTTCTTTCCATCCTGATCTACTAACCTTATAAAGGATAGACGTTTAAAATTAAACTTATGATGGCAAAAATTGATGTTAATCACTTAACATCCTTCCTGATGGCCGGATCTGGAGTTATGTTTATGTTCGTACATGTACACGTTCTCTGTTAAACTTGATTCTGTTTCTCGTTCTTCTGTCCAGTCATTCCGTCTGGTTAACAACTGTCCTAGCCTAAACTCTCATGGCCACTTGAGTAATTTCCAGACAGCTGGGACTGGGATTACAGTAAGTCGTTTAGGTCCTAACCCCTACTCCGTAGTCCGTTTTCCCCAACCACAAACTTTCATGCTTTATCCCAGAACATGTGGATATGCGGTGGCCTCATGGTTAACTAGTGCGCCCACCTCCGGATAAGTGGTCCTGGTTTAAGCCCTGGCTGGGGTCACTGTGTTGTGTCCTTTCTCCACCCAGGTGTATAAATGGGTACTGGTGAACTTAATCCTGGGAGGTGACCTTGCAATGGACAAGCCTCCCATCCAGGGGGGAAGTGGTTCAAACACTCTTAGTTGCTTCATGCTACAGAAAGCAGGATAAGCTCTAGCCTGGTTGGCTAGTCTCTTTGGTTGAGAATTTTTTTTTTATTTGAACCTGGTATTATATGAGGAGATTGAACTAGCCTGGGATAGACAACAGTTAGTTCAAAAAATGGATTAAGTGAGGTATAGATGATTTTGGTGATGTTTGATCAGCAATTTGGTAACTTAACTACTACCTCTGCTATCCTATATTGTTGCTTTTCATTGTGACCTTTCAGTAAATAAAGTCAAGATTCTGAGATACAGTAGAATGACAACCTCACCAAGAATTAGGTTTCTGCAGTTTTTCATTCGTGTTATTCAAAGAAATGTTTCACCCAAATTTATAGAGCTTTGTGTGGAGATGCCACATTGGTGCTCCACAAATATGGCAGTCGTAAAGTAACAGAAACATCTGTCATTGAGTTTCGCTATTGAAATGAGAAGTCAGTACTCTGTACTAGCTCGAGAAGTCAGAGCTTCCACATGTTGAAATTAATTCTTCTTCTCGTGCAAGAATTGTTCAGTTAGCAAAAACTTAAGCAATAACTCATCTTTTGACCTATGTGACGGTCTTATCAGGTTAATTGCCATTTAATGTCACACAACGCAAAAGCTTGGAAATTCAAACATGCTCTGTTACGAAATGAAGAACCCTTCGAGCTAAAACATTGTAAAACATGTAGTTTCTAAAGAGTCTTAAATCTGATTAAACTTAACCCTCCCAAGGAAAGGTACCGTAATTTTTAATTTTCCAATACATGTATGTCCTACATCACATTAAAACCAAGATTAATGTACTTACAACAACTACAAAACATTTTGGCAAGGCTGTAATCTAATTAGCAGTTATGTTTGCCCATGAAATAACACGTTTCTAGCATGTTAAAATGGCTAGAGTAGAGTGTACATGTAAACCTCTTGTAGAAATCAACAGCAACAACAACAATGCTTTAAAAAGTTAGGTCTTCAATATGCTTTACCCCTGAATAAGGATGGTAACTCTCCTCCCTCCCCCCAATTTTTTTGGCTCAATCTGACTTGAGTTGGTTGTTAACTTCTGCTGGAGCAGTAGTTCCAGGATTTTATGAATGTAGGAAGATTTTGGACATGAATGCTCCCCCCTATTACTGTATATGTGGTTCTAGAAAATATTCATACCCACCCCAAGGGGGGTTGTTTGAAATTCTAAAGGGGAGGGAGGCCTCAAAACCCAAAATTACCAAAGGAAAGTATAAACAAAACCTGGAATTTCCAGAGGGATGTGAGGTTCAAAGCAAAAAAAACCCCTTTCATTCTTTTTCCGTTCATTCTTTTTTTGATGAGCCCCCTCTCTTTTACATGTAAGAACCCCCACCCACCCGCACTCATTACCTCTTCCTAAAAGAGTGCCCCAAGGTAAACCAGAATATTAGGGCACAATTGATTTGAAGTAGATGCACATTTTGGTACAGGAGCTCTCAGAAAATTTCTATTTGTTTCTCTTGCCAATTCTGGGGAGATGTTCCATTCACAAATAAAGTATTAGGCATCCAGTTGTTTTAATATCATGTGAAGTACGTCCCACACTATGTTCAATAATCATTAACTCTTACAAGTCTCTTCCAAAGAAATATTGCGCAGAAGTTACATTTACCCCTTATTAGGCTTAAAAAGTAATTTATCAAATGGAGCTTGATAAGGGAAATTGAAATTGTGATGGCTATCATGACAGTTAATTATGTTACTTATTATGTATCATACATTTACTGAGTTGTTGATTGTTGTGGTTTGTTCTAATGATTTGTTCTACATTGCTCATTTAGGTGTTTCGTTATTGTGATGTTGCAGTGATAGCAGCAAAGCAGCCTTTCCAAGTAGAACTCATTGAGGGAAAGACATATTATTGGTGTAAATGTGGACTAAGTAAGAAACAGGTAAATAACTGCAGACTTTTATACCTCCATCTTCACACCCATGAGTTATATACTACTGGTATTGCCTGAGTCGTTATTCACTCAATGGGCTGATAGATTTCCCATGTTTAAGTGGCCACTTTATATTTTTACCACACTTGCTACTAATCTCGCAATCTGATTGGCTAATTTACCATTGTTGATAAGAGTCCACAACATTTTGACTACTGTGATGACGCATATCGTTGTCGATAAGAGTGCAGACAATGCTAAACCATGTTCAATTTGTTAAATTGATGTGTAGTCCCAGTGCAGCTGTTTCTATAGTTACATACACCTTAACTCTGCAAAGCAACTTGTGGGTGGAACTTGGAGATAAATTTTGTCTGCAGTGGCTTTTTCAGTGTCTTCGGTTTGAAGTGGTTGAGATGCACATTGAGTCTTTTGATACACCTTAGATGGGATGCTAGTCTGTGGAATCACAGGTTGTGTGCTTAGTTGCACTATCAATTTGTTGGTGCCTGTTGAGACTCCTTTGTGGAGACACGGTGTCGTCATGACTAGTGCGCTTGTCTCTGGATCAAGCAGTCCGGGTTTAAGCCTTGGCCGGGGACATTGCTTTGTGTTTTTTGGCAAGACACTTTACTCTCACAGTGCCTCTCTCCACCCAGGTGTACAAATTGGTACCGGCAAATTAAATGCTGCGGGTAACCCTGTGATGGACTAGCATTCCATCCAATACTCCTAGTTGCTTCATGCTACAGAAACCAGAGATACATGTACATGTTACAAGTGTTGGCTTGATGGGCCAGTTGGCTTGTATGCTCAACTTTACCTTACCGTTACCATTTATTATTGTACATCTTGGTGGAGACAAGACACTGGTAGAGTCAAAAGCCCTACCCTAGAACACAATACAGTGACATTGGCTAGCACTTCAACCATGTCTGTTTTAGTTAACCAGACTAAAAAATTGAGAATGAATGATGTGTGCACCTGAATTCGCACTCTGTGCACCACCAGTATTTTCTGCCAAGCCATAAGATGTCTCACTTGTTTGACTAACATGCAAGATGCTTGATGTAAATGTACCTTTGTGAGTAGTTGATTAAAAATGATATAGAATGAGGATATGATACAGCTTTAAAACAAATACTGAATAGGAAGAGAGGTAGGCAGAGGTCCAGGGGGGTGTGATTGTTTGCTGCAAGAGGGGAAAGGCATGCTTTTCTGGAAAATGTTTCCTAGTTTGACTATAAAACTTCAAATTCCTGCATGATATTCATATTCATCACTTATTTTAACTAAGAGGAAACCGAGACAAGCATACATACATACATACACGCATGTACATACATTCATGGTTTATTTGATAATTAAAAGCAGGTTGAGGAATTGGCAAGACGTTAAGTCCTGATGTGGACCTGCACTATCTAAAATGATTAATTAATAAAGACCTAGATAATAAATTGAAAATGGGTAAATAGATAATGATAATTGAAATAATCACTTTCAGTTCTTGTGATATCTGGAGAGATAACCCTGAAAAAGAACGTGATGGCTTTTGTTTTTTTTTGTTTGTTTGTTTTTTTTCACTCTTTAAGTACGGTCTTTTTATTTTGTTTCCCCCAGCCATTCTGTGATGGACGCCACAAGGTCACCACTATCAAGCCCGTCCGATTTGAAGCCGAGCAAAGCAGCTCCGAGATATTCCTTTGTGGCTGTAAACAGACCGAGTCAGCGCCATTTTGTGACGGCACTCATGCCACTGAAAAAGTGCAGTCAGCAAATTTATGATCTGAATTAAAAAATTAGAGTTCATCCCGCCTAAAACCCTGGTCCATGAAGTTTTCTTTCTTTAGAAAACCTCTTGAACCAGGGTACCTGCTTATCTGAAATGCACGGAATGTCAGCCGAGCGAAGTTGTAAAACAAAGTGAGGTACATGTGTACCAGTGAATGTTCCATGTCGAGACAACAGTAAGAATGACAAGTGTTCAGTTGTCTTTGTCGGTGTGGCAGCTTGAATCGATGTATTCCCGATTGTGTACGGTACTTTCTGATTGTTAAAATAAAGCAAGGGCTAAAACCTCCTTAGAAGTTACTGTGAAGATTTGAAAAGAAAAGAAAAAAAAAAACCTCACCTATTCCCACCACTCCACCCCTCTCTAGTGAGACGTGTATTTTCCTGCTTTACAATGAGACGGTGTTGGTTGATACCTTGTTGATGAATGGGTGTTGACTGTTGCTAGCCTGTTTGTGGTGCGGAAAACGCGTTCCACGTCGCGTGGTAAATGTGGTGTAAGTTC